GTTTGTATGTAATGTATGAATATAATATACAAGTTTCACTTTTTAAATGGAATTACTGAAATAAATCTACTTTTTCATGACATTCTAATTTTATGACCAGCACCTGTAATTTATCAAAAAGAAGTCTTAAGCCCAGTTTTAAAATAAGAAAAAGTGTCAGCTTCCTCGACAGTAACTGGAAGTTTGATCCACAAGAGATGAGTTTGATAAACTTTTAGAAACTTAACAGCTGCAAGTAAACCTGCAGTCWGWGTTCAAAGTGCTTTCTTCGGAAAATATGGACCAAAATGATTAGATGTAGTTTGGTTGTTGAGAACTTTATGTTAGAAGTAGGATTTTAAATTTGACAATGAGCCAAAACTAGAGAAATGCAATCAATCCTGTTAACTTTAATTCTGGCAGCAGCATCTTTAAGAGTTTTTGAAAACCCAGAAAAAAAAAAAAAGAATAACAACAGTCCAGTCTAGAAGTGATAAATGCGTGGACGAGTTTTTAAGCATCATTTTGGGGCAAGATGTTTCTAATTTTAGGGCCATTGTACAAGTGGAAGAAAGTGGTCATGATGACATGTGAGTGTTTAATGACACCAAGGTTTTGTTTTACATTTGAACTGGAGGCTTTTTCTTAAAAGACAAAGAGTCATATTTTTGGAACCTAAACAATTTTAATTGAATAGTTCTTACAGAAAGACCCACTGGGCCTTGTGTTTGGGTACATTCCAGCGAAACTGACTGATCGCAGGTGGAACACAGAACTGCCTCGAGGAGGAATCGGAAACCAGGACAGCCCAGTAGCAGGCAGGGAGGGGGCGTTAACTCCTCCTCTCCTCCACTCTGATGCGATCTGTGACGTCCTTCTCCTCCTCCTCCTCTGTGGAACCAGCAGCAGCAGCAGAAGCACAGGAGCTGTCGTGCTTCGTCTTTTACGGAGGTGATAACAGGCAGGCGGAGTGAAAGCTAAACCCTGTTCAGCCATGGCAGACAACGCCGGCTTAGAAAACCACCGCATCAAGAGCTTTAAAAATAAAGGACGTGATGTCGAGGTAAGCTAACACAACAAAACCATTAAAAATAACAAAAGTTAAATTATATCAATGTTAAAAAGATTGCTTTCGGGCCTCATTTGATAGCCTGGCCCCGGCTGAAACTGCTAGTTTCCGAACGGGTAGCTAGCTATCGAGCTAGCTAGCTAATGTAAGTTACCTATAAGTTCGCCATCAAAGGTTCCGCTCTGATGATACGGATAAATTAACACATTAAACTATACGATAGACTTCGGGTTAACGAAAAGAAAACACCTGCAAAACTTCAGTTCCCACTGTGGTTTGAACCGCAAGCTACATCACACTTGGGCCGCTGAAACTGGAAGAATTAAGGGCAGGCGACTTAGCTGTCACTGCATGCGTGTTGTGGCGAAAAAGGTACCCTTGCCATCTAAAGATTCCTCATTATAAGAAATGCGTTTTGATAGCTCCACCGGAAGGGAAATGTCTGTGAACAGAGGATCTATCAGTTTATGGCAAACTATGCTGTCAGAATAGCTAGGTTCCCTAGCCACGAAACACAAACACTAAATCAACATATACAGATATTTTCACTTAGAATAACATTAACACACGTTGACGTAATTGCAATTAACAGTTTGTTACCTTCGACTTGTAAAAATATTTGCCTTGAAATGCGCTTTTCGTGACGGAGATACTTTTCATGGCCGGGGTGCTTTTTTTCGGTACAACACCTACCTGCTAACGATAACTAGCTGGTTGGGCTTGACACCGGTCGTGTTCGGGCCTACCCGGCTTCATTAAGCGTGACATGTAGCGTGTTATTCAGCCAGCCGACTTCATTAAACATTTGTGCTAACTTGTGAACGTGACATATGTCCATCATTATTAGAAAAAAACGCTGGTTTTAGTTTTAGTTAAGGGACTGGTCCACATTCACCCTACCCACCCCTCATCGTTAGCTCGCTAACGTGAGCAAGCTAAACAGAGCTGTGTTTTGCACAGAACGCTTTAGGTGAATGATAATGATGTGATGACCTTAGTATCATTTACAGTTTATCCGTAAGTAAACCTTACACGTATCGCTCTGGTCATTACTGCATAAGGCGAGTTTACTCTGCTCTGTCAGTACAGAAACACCAGCATGGCAGTTCTGTAGTTATATTATTTTGTTATCTAAACAAATATTAATGCTTCAAAAGGGTTTTATTATTATTAAAGGAAAATCTATTAGTCAGACATTATAGAAAGCCCTTGTGTGTCACTAGAAAAATAAAGAAAATGTTTTCTTTTCTTTAATGCTGCATAATTCAGTTGACAATCTGATGATAATCTGTCAGTATTTGTGTCCTTCATTGACAAAATAACCAAAACACCGGGTGAAGACTGCTTTAAAGTTTCAACAAATAAAACTCCCACTTTTGGGCTATAAACGTGTTTTCTAGACCTGTTTGGATAATTTATTACATTTAAACACTATACCACTGGGTATTTCTCTCAGCTACAGCGTTTACTAACAGGTTGTTTTGATCTATTGGTAAATCCAGAGTTAATCCCCAAACAAAGGTATGTCTGAAAATGGCCTTTCCAAATCCACCAGAGAGTGGCAACTGGAGTTTCACCATCAGCTTCCAAAATGATGCCTCTGTAGGTGGTTGTTTTGAAACTGGAAGTCTGTTGGAAAAGCACATGGCTACGGTGATCGACAGTCTCTGCCAAGTGCATTCCTGATGCTATTTCCGGCATCTTGGATGTCTGACCCAGTCCTTCTTAGAACCTCAGCATGAAATTGGGTTTTTGAAAATGGATGACTCAGACTGCAGCAAAGAGTGGGGGAAGTTTAAGTCTGTTTATTTAGGTCAGCCCTATTTCTGATACTTAATGAAAAGGAGTCTTTTCCCATACTGCCTGCCTTCAACTCTTGTAATATCAAAGTATATCACTAAGGTTGACTGTATTTTATTTGTTTTTGTTATTTACAATTGACACAATCTTGTCTTAGAAAAAAAAACCTGTTTTTGGCATTTTTTGTGTTACCTCTTTAAATCAACATAAGTGTACATTCATATTTTAGGTAATAAAATGTGTACTAACTTAACAAATTAAGAATAGGAGGCATTGATATTCCTCCATTTCCGTCAGGCTTCATTGGTAGCATTTTTTAAATTGATTTATTTTTTTGTTTTGGGTTGCTATTGCAGCGTTACAGTGTTGTTTTTACGGTGGTTGGGAGACACCTTTCTGCTCCAGAGCCTCCAGAGTTATGACCCACCCCACCCCACAGTTACGTAAGAGGCTATTTAGGAAGGCAACATGAACCTCTTTAAACAGTCACAAGATTTTGGACCATCTCAAAATGTCCTGGATGAGAAGGAATCCCAGCAGATGCACAAATACAGCAATGAGTTACACCGTTAAGCTATCACTCCTCATGTGTTTTGGTATTTTAAATCTTATCACATATTGTGTGCTTGTCTGCTACACAGGTCTAAACTAAACACCCACTATTCATTTACTTATTTTCATAATGATTTTGCAATCCTCAAACAAAAAGCTGTCATTTAATGTAAATTTTATATTTTTCATTAATTTTACTTTACGTTAGATACACACATGTTCAACTGTACAATGTATGTTTTGCTGCTATGGTAAATACTTCACAAAACTCTTATTCACTGTATTTTCTCTTGTTACAGACTATGAGAAGACATCGAAATGAAGTGACAGTTGAGCTGAGAAAGGTGAGAAAAGCTGCACATTATGAAATTCATTAACAAACAAGCGCATCCTCCGTCAGGTTATCAAACACATCTGACTCCAGACAGGTGGGGTACACAGGGAAAAATATGAAACACTGACATTTTTTAGTTTAGATTAGCCATACCGCCTATTTTTAAAAAATACTGTGGGAATCAGTACAGTTGAAATAGTGTCACTAGGCTTGTGTAAATATAATCTACTTTAGTATGGAACATTTTTCTTGCTGTGTACATGTATTTTACATTTCATTGTCAGATTAAAAGTTATTTTTTGCTGGTCGTTGGCCATTAGCAGCTAGCTAGCAGCTAATTACTGGCACATAGGTATATTTTATTATTGTTGTTAGCTTATTATTTTACATTTAAATACTAATTTAATCTAGCTTTGTTTTTTTCAAGTAGCACATCCTATTTTATTTTTTCTTACTGAAATTTGTCTATAAGAAATTTATATTGTCAATAGTGCAAACATTAGCATACATCAAGCGGACAAGTGGCATGCTTTTTATTGTCATGTAGTTAAAGAAGTGAATGAAAACGTTGCAATGCAGATAAGTAGCATTAACAGTAAAACATCACTGGCTTCTGTGCTCCACCATTTATACACAGGATATGTTCATTCACACCTTGGAGAAACTGGGCATCTGTGCTTTCAAACACTTTATGTAAAGAAGACGCAAGAAAACAGGCTTAAAGCAAAATAAATAAATCTACACAGTATATACAGGTCCTTCTCAAAAAATTAGCATATTGTGATAAAGTTCATTATTTTCTGTAATGTACTGATAAACGTTAAACTTTCATATATTTTAGATTCATTGCACACCAACTGAAGTAGTTCAAGGCTTTTATTGTTTTAATATTGATGATTTTGGCAAAAAAGTTAAGAAAAACCAAAAATCCCTCTCAAAAAATTAGCGTATTTCATCCGACCAATAAAAGAAAAGTGTTTTTAATACAAAAAAGTCAACCTTCAAATAATTATGTTCAGTTATGCACTCAATACTTGGTGGGGAATGCCTTTGCAGAAATGACTGCTTCAATGCGGCGTGGCATGGAGGCAATCAGTCTGTGGCACTGCTGAGGTGTTATGAAGGCCCAGGATAGTGGTCTTAAGCTCATCCAGAGTGTTGGGTCTTGTGTCTCTCAACTTTCTCTTCACAATATCCCACAGATTCTCTCTGGGGTTCAGGTCAGGAGAGTTGGCAGCCAGTTGAGCACAGTAATACCATGGTCAGTAAACCATTTACCAGTGGTTTTGGCACTGTGAGCAGGTGCCAGGTCGTGCTGAAAAAGGAAATCCTCATCTCCATAAAGCTTTTCAGCAGCTTCTGCTGCTGTTTCTGGTTCAAAAGTGGCTTGACCTGGGGAATGAGGCATCTGTAGCCCATTTCCTGCACACGCCTGAGCACGGTGGCTCTGGAAGTTTCTAGTCCAGACTCAGTCCACTGCTTCCGCTGGTCCACCAAGGTCTGGAATCGGCCCTTCTCCACAATATACCTCAGGGTCAGGTGGTCACCACTTCTTGTTTTGCAGCGTTTTCTGCCACACGTTTTCCTTCCCACAGACTTCACACTGAGGTGCCTTGATACAGCACTCTGGGAACAGCCTA